CATTCATGCATACAGTTAATTACCCCATTCTTCAGCACTCATGATTGTAATTTAACCCACTCTTTCTAAAATGATTTGATAAACATAAAACTAATTATATTTTAATATAGCTCAGAAATGTGGCTTGAGATTCACTGGTGTTATTGCTTCAATCACTTGCGCCTTCTTTCTCTTATATTTGATTGCCAAACTTCTCTTTCCCTGATGTAGAGAGAGTAAAGATGGCAAAAGCTGAGAAGACCGAAGAGAGAAGGGTAGGAAAATTGGAAGAGAAATCTAGAAAGGAAATTTTTAATTTATCAAATCAATGTATATATTATTCAGAAATACTAGTCCTAATTATACTGAAGCTACTAATAAAACTTGAAAATTGTCAAATGACAATAACACTGCAATATTGGAAACTGTGATTGGGATGGTGAATGCTAAGCGAGCTCCCTGTTATGATGAGATAGTATGAAGAATTGCTGGTAATGTTATTGTCTTCTTTTTTCAGTTAGCAGAAGCTGCAAAAGCTCAATTTTCACATGACTATAGTGACCACCTCGCTCTTGTTCGGGCTTTTGAGGGGTGGAAAGTCGCTGATAGAGATCTTGCTGGATATGAATATTGCTGGAAGAATTTCCTGTCAGTACAGTCCATGAAATCTATTGATTCTCTTCGTGAGGAATTTTACTCTTTGCTAAAGGATATTGGCCTTGTCGATAGCAACCCAGCCATTTACAATACTTGGAGCTATGATGAGCATCTTCTTCGAGCAATTATTTGCTATGGATTGTATCCTGGAATCTGCTCTGTTGTGGTGAGTCATGGTTTTACTCGCTGTTGCAAAGTTCACAAATGGTATCGATTATATGCTAGTGTGATGCAAAATAAAATACCATTTATGTGTTGGCCAATATTCTAATACTGTAATACTTTTCTTGTGTAACTGAATTCTATTATTTTATGTAACTAGTATATGAAGTGCCTTGAAACATTATTTTAGTTATAGAAATTTAATAATTAAAATTGGCTATATTTACTTCACTGGTTTGTATCAAGAGTATTGGTGAGTTTCCTACAGTCAACTGGTATCAATTGTCGATTCCATTTTCATTTCTATTAACATTATGTAAATGCATTGACAGCACAATGAGAAAACCTTCTTACTTAAAACGATGGAAGACGGGCAGGTGCTTTTGTGCTATGTAAGTGTTTCACTGGCTTAGTATCTTCTTGCGTTGTTAGAGATCAATGACGAATGGCTTATTGTGTTTCTCATGGTCTGTATTAATTATCGGCTTAGAACTCGGTCAATGCACGTGACTCAAGGATACCATATCCATGGCTTGTTTTCAATGAAAAGATCAAAGTTAACTCTGTCTTCCTGCGGGATTCAACAGCTGTGTCTGATTCAGTGCTGGTCCTATTTGGTGGAGGCATCTCAGAAGGAGATATGGTAAATTTCTCAATCTGCATATTATTATTTTCGTGCCCTAGACGTACTATTCAGGTCCTTGTTGTCGGATTCATGTATTAGTTCTAGGGTTGCAGGGGTACAATTGTCTTTCACCAATAACTTACCTTTTACAACACTCATTATTGAATGACACATTACAAGATATCTGTCTGGTTAAAACCTTGTCTAATAAAAACCCAATGGGACAAAAAAATCAAACGAAGGAAAAAGAGTATAGATATTTTGGAGTATTAAAGACAAATGATGCATCATTAAAACCTTGTTAGGAAAACCCAGTGGGATAAAACATACGCAAAGGAAAAAGAGTACAGCTACTCCCCAATTTCTTGTGATGATATCTTTGATATGAAATCTTTTTCTTATTTGACTAGGACGGTCACTTAAAAATGTTGGGTGGATATTTGGAGTTTTATATGGAGCCTGCTACAGCAAAACTGTATCAGAGTTTGAAGAGAGAGTTCGAGGAATTTATTCAAACAAAAGTAAGTGAAACAATGAAGCAATACCCGTTCACTGTTTCCGCTATATCATTTATTTCAGTTTCATGTTTATCAGAGTTTGCTGTTGTATTATATTTCCTATGCAAGTGGAAAATAATATTTTTGTGGTGTTGGTTTTAAATGCATGCCAACTCCTATTGTAATCTTTGCGGAATGCTTGTGATTTTTTGTATGAAGCTCCTTTATCCGTGGATGGATATACATTCCTACCATGAACTTTTATCTGCAATACGGCTGCTGATCTCAGATGATCAATGTGGTGGTAGATTTGCTTTCAACCGCCAGATAGAACAAACCTCCAACCCATCTATTGTAGCAGAAGCTCCAACCTTGATACCTAGGTCGGAAAGCGCTCCTGGTGGTGATAATTCAAAGAGTCAGCTACAAACATTGCTGACTCGAGCAGGCCGTGGAGTACCAGTATACAAGACGAAGCAGCTAAAGAACAACCAGTTCCAATCAACTGTAGAATTCAACGGTATGCAGATAACGGGGCAGCCATTTAACAACAAGAAGCAAGCAGAAAAAGATGCTGCAGCTGAGGCACTGCAGTGGATTTTGGGACGGAATCAGGCTGGCCACGACAATGTTGACCACATGTCAATGTTGCTGAAAAAGAGCAAGAAGGACCACAAGTAGATATGGAGGTAATTTGAAATCTGATGCTTCCTTCCGGTGTTCACACTTAAAGATATACGTGCCTCTGTCAATTAATACTAACCGCATGCTGGCGTGGACCGCTTACCAAGTTGAAAGCTACTGAAAATCCCCAGAATGACCATGCAACATCAAATTTATGTTAACCACCTACAAATAGTTTGCATGTTCTTGCAAGAATGTGCAACAGATAATCTCCATGTCTGTGTTTCTGAAGATGAACTTATATTATCCAGACTAGGTAGTCCAAGTTGGCTGGACAATTTTACTTGGGCAATTGCACCTGGAAGTGTGTATCTGTAAAGATGGCATTGGTGGAAATGTGCACACAAGGGTAGGGAAGGGTAATTTTTGCATTGTGGTATAATTTTTTCAACCTCAATTATCCCATTTCTCGTCTGTAGAGTTATTCTGATTTTGACTACCATCAAATATATTTATTTACCGAGCATGGTCGAGTTTTCATATATATTTACTTTTAGAAAAATGCTTGTTGTACATCACCATTTACACATTTTTACAGATTGGTGAGGTGACAAAAAGAAAGTAGAGGAATTTTATTTTTTTTAATTGGTAGGTGAAATTTTGACTCAATTATATCTCGTCACATCTGTTGATAAATAAATTTGTAAGTTGTAATCTACATATAACATAATCGTTATGTTTAACAGGGAATGCAAATGTTTGTTCTCAAAACTTGAAATTGCTCAAACAGGGACGAAAGAAGGCCTCTGCCTCGACTCTGAAAAACACCTTTCTTTTCATTAATGCTTCCAAGTAATATGGTTGCTTCATCTTCTTCGTTGTCTTCGTTTATCCCCACCACTCCCTAATAGCTTCCCCTTCCCTCGATTGCTTTTGCCTTTCTTATGGCCGCTTTCCCTCCAGATTTATACGTACAAATTTAGCCCTTATTTGGCTCCCATTTTGTGGTGTTTAAAATTTTTGGAATAGTGATTGATGAGAGAATGTGTGGTAAAAAAGTAATGAAAAGTTTTAGATTTGTATGTAATATTATTTTATTTGATGAATGTGTGGTTGAAACGAAGAGAGAAAAAAAATTAATGTAATGTAATGGAAAAAAATTGGGGCCAAACAGTTTCATATAGTTTTTGTCAACTGAAATTTCGAGTCATATTTTTCTATCAACGACTCAATAGTAATTAAAATGTTATTTTGATATATTAATTTAGTGGCTAAATATGTAATAACAAACAAACAAATAAATAGATATTATCAACATTTTTGTCATACATAGAATTTAGTTTATCCAAGTTCTATTTTTTTTTTTTTTTGATAAATAAAATTAAAATCTTACCTTTTCAAAATTCCATCCATAGTAATTTAAGATTACGAATGGCTGGAATTTTAGTAAATATAATTTATCAATGGAAATTTCTTCAAAAAATAATTAAAAAAATATAAAAATTAATATTAGTGAAAAGAATCTTCAACAATAAAACAACATTTACAAATATAAATAATTAAGACGAAAAACTAAAAGATTATTGATTTTCGTGAAGTAGTGATCATTTATTCTGTTTAATTTTCTTTATGATTATAGTCGAAAAGATTCCTTTGAAATTTTGTCTGAAGAGTTTGACAAGAAAGGGAGGTGAAAGGAGGGACTATTAATTTATAAATCTCCGTCACTGTTTTCATTATTTTTTTTATTTACTTTTTTTTTATTTCAATTGGAATGGGTGGACCACCATTACTCTAAATTGAGGGGGGAAAAAAAGTGAAATATTCTCGAAATACTAAATTGATCGATCTGGCTGTCGGAATCATATAATTGATTAGGTAAATAATGTAAAGGGAAATGGACTTTGATTCGAGACAGGCTGGGAAGCCTATGATCCTTCCTGTCTTCAGTTTCTCATTAAAAATTCTGATTATGTTTTGGTGAGCATTAGAGGGCACAATGTTCAGTCAAAGAGTTTAGAGTCCTTCATATTATAATAATCTTCTACTTATTTTTGTTCATCATTTATGAGCATTTTGTTACACTTTGATTCTCATTTTTGCTTTAATGCTCCAAGTCAAAACTCTTTCTCGATGAGCAGTAGTAGTAAGCGATCGCTCGTCTCTATTTCTAAATTAACATAGTGGATAGACTCACTTTTTATGTCTCTGTTACCTAGAATGCAAGTGAGTCACAAAAGTAAATTGGTCCATAATAGGCATTGACTCTTCTGAATCGACGTATTCAGATCATTAAAAAGTTGAGAGAAAATGAGTTGATAATCTTTATATTATAATCTTCTTCTAATGAAAAAAACCAATCATTCTTACATTTCTATTCTCATATTTGCTTTTTTATTCTCAAAAAAGGGTTCTAGCAATGTCATTATCAGGAGTATGGCCCTAGATCTTCCTCGTCTATTATGCTCTGATACAGATCGACACACATGTTATCCCTAATATCTCTAGTCTACTTTCGCTACTTCTCTTTTGAATGAGATATAGTATATCCTTATTTATTGCTCTATTTACCTTTTCTTTTTTCGGACTTCAGATTTAAACTCACTTCCCATATATTCTTGTGAGCTCTGTATTATTGTTGGGGCATTCTAACCTCATCAATATTCTTCTCTAGTGAAGCCTAAAAACACACTGAAGATGAGTTGATGATTTGTCTTAAAAAAAGTTAAGAGACATTTACTTTCATATCAACTATTTTTGAATCGACTTCTTCAGTTCTTAATCTATAGTATTTTTGTTCTTTTTATATTGTCATATTCTAATCCATAGCTACATGTACTTGATTTAAGTAGTCCATTTAAACATCCCTGATGACACAATCCAACAGTGTGATGACACACATTTGGCATTAAGCTGTGTGTTTGCTGGGGGTGTTGGCAACCATTAGGGTCATAGTCACCACTTGCAATTGCTTAAAGTTGGTGTCAATTATCAATTGAATTGACATGAAAGTTTAGGGGACCCCTTGTTTTTTTTTTTTTTTTTTCTATGTGTGTAATTGTTTAATGGAGGAGTCCATGTGGAGTCATTTCTGTTTATTTCTTCTTCTTCTTTTTTTTTTTTTTATTAATATTTTTGTTGATTTTTGGGTCTTAGAATTTTGAGTAATGGGAAGATATTGGTCACATCTAAGGAACAACATATGGGTCTGGAAATATTGGAAGGTACAAACAATGTTGCAGTGATTAGGTGTTGGTCTGTCCTTTCATATGGGATGATAAATTTTAATGCCCACATTCTGTTTGTTAGGCATTTATGATTTAGCAGATGATAGACAATTTGGAGGCTTAAAATGTACTCAATTACGATAGTTTTGTGAGTTAGACTGAGATGTTTGTTTCTTTGTTGTCTAGTAATTTGATTGTATATGATTAAGGATAAACATGTATCATAATTTTCTTTCGTAAGTATATGTAATATACAAAGTACTAGGCCATACACGACAATAATATGAATAAAATTCGAACGGTTCAGAGGTTAACTACACTGTAAGTCATCGAACTTTTACCTAGTTGCAATTGAATTATTGAACTTCAATTTGAAACAATCAAGCCACTAAACTTTAATTTAAAAGCAATCAGGTCACCCTATTTGATTTTGTTAATGTGACTAATGGAATTAGCTGGCATGTTCATCAAAACTAACGTCGTGCCAACGATCAGTAGACTACTAATGTTGGAGGTCACTAGACTTTCACCCTAGTTGCAATCAGGTCAATAAACTTTTACTCTTGTTGCAATCGGGTCATTAAACTTTAGTTTGAAGAATCAAGTCATAAATCATGCAATCATATAAACATTGATTTTAGCATTCATTGATGTTCCTTCAATATCAACTTGTGAAAAATAATGAATTTCAAAATTCAAATTCAATCAGTAGTTAAATAACTCAACTTGAAATGGAAAAAAAAATCTATAGCATAGGTTAAAGTTCATTGATTTGATTGCAATTCCGGTGAAAATTCAATGATTTGATTAAAACTAGTGTGAAAGTGATTGATTAAAGTTCAGTAACTCGATTGCAATTAGGGTAAAAGTTCAGTGATTTGATTGCATCTAGGGTGAAGGTTCAATGAACTCTAGTGCTATTAATTTGTTGACTATAATGTACACATTGGCATTTTGTTAGTTTTAATGGATGTCTGCAAATTTCGGTAGGCACGTTAACACAATCCCAACTGAGTGGCCTGATTGCTTTCATATTTAAGTTTAGTGATTTGGTTGCTACAAATTGAAGTTCAATGACTTGATTGCAAATATGGTAAAAATTTAGCCCATGTTTGTTACACATTCTTTCAAAACTCATTTTCAACTACACACTATTCAATAAAATAATATTTTCTATCATATCAATAACTTTTCCTTACTTTTTAACAATATATTTTCCATCGTATTACTATTTAAAATATATTATTTTCTCAATAATATACATCAAACACACACTTAGTGATCAGTGTAATTAATCAAATTGTTCAGCACTCTATAATCTCATACGTAAAGTTATCGTATTTCAACATGTTCATGAATCGAGGCAATAATACGTCAATCAAGTATCTGGCATGCCTCTTTTTCTTATTTGTTTTCAAATCTTGTCCAATTCAATGTACTAAGCACGATGACTTAGGGCCTCTTTGTTTTTTATTCTCAAATTCTACAGTAAATCAATTCTCATTTTCAACCACACATTCTTCAATAAAATAATATTTTCCATCACATCAGTAATTTTTTTTTCTTTTTCAACCATGCATTTCCCATCATATCACTATTCAAAAATCAATTTTTCCCCCTAAAATTCCTACCAAATAAGCACTTAATATGTTATGTTATTAGGCTAAGAAAGTTGACTTTTATATGAGATAATCTTAAATAATTGAGTGTTCATTGATCCAAACACCTTTCTATTTCTACTTTCAATCTAAAGGCATTTTACCCTACTTTATTGATAAGAAGTTATTCACATGTCTCCTCTCCTTTTTCCTTTGTCAAACTCTAAAGATT